GGGGGTGGGGGGAGGGTGCGGGGTCCCGGGGGTGCTGGGGCCATAGGGGTCCACGGGAGGGTGGTCCTGGGGGATATGGGGGGGTGCAGGGTCCCGGGGCAAGGTCCCAGGGCTATATGGAAAGGCGCAGGGTCCCGGGGCAAGGTCGTGGGAGATATGGGAGGGTGCAGGGTCCTGGGGGATTAGGGAAGAGCATGGGGTCCGTGGCGGGTGCTCTTGGGGAAGCATGGGGCAATGTTCATGGGGAGCCTGTGGGGGATGCAAGGGCCACGGGGGAGTGGGGAGTCCCGTGGGCGCTAGGAGCAGGGTGGGAGAGGCAGGGGTGGGTGCTGGGGGTCTCATCTCCGTGCAAAACCACCTGTAAGAGAACTTGCAGCTCCTTGAATCCTCAGGCTGGCAGCCACCGAGCTCTCTTCAGGCGTGCGCAGGGGCTCGGCTGACATCGCACTCATTCTGCTCTCTCCTGTCCTAACTTAGCCGGGCTGATTTCCATTGCAGCCCTCAGAGTTACTGCACTGGAGCTGTTACAGTCAGAGCTGCTCCGGAGTTGAGGAGGGTCAGGGTGTCAGTCCCGCGCTTGCCAGGCAATAACTGTAGCACTCCCTGTTAGACATGTGTGTCTGTTGCAGGAGATGCTGGTCCTGAAGCCTCCCTTGCTCTGGGATATGCTCGGAGGAAGACGGCTTTGCCTGCCCCAGGCATGGAGGACTCCAATGTGCAGACCATGAATGGAGTCAGTTTGTTCAGGTTTTGGCTGAGCACCCAGGAAAAGGATTCCTATCTCCCTCGACGGTGACTGGCATTGCTACAGAAAGCACAATGTTAGAATTAAAGGCCACTTTCTGCAAGTATTAGCATTAAGTTCCCTATTCCCCAGAGCGCTTACTCTTGCAGCTGTTCAGAGAGAAAAAGGGACACAAATCCCACCACCGTTAATCTGTGAAAAAAAGGCAAGGGAGCAGTCACGCCACAGGTATTAATTAAGCAATTAATGATGATCATGGGTCATTTCAGAGGCTGTCCTGTACAGTGCAGGGCATTGTCGACTGAGTAAAGAAGTGGGGATGTGTTGGCACCTTTTCTGCCAGATACGGCATTTCCTATCCTTGATGAAAAACACGCAGCTTTGAGCACAGCCATTAACTGTTGTCTCAGCATCCATGTGTCCGTGCAGTTAATTTAATGCCACCACCGACAGGCTTGGCGCCCAGCAGCCTTATGAAATATTCATGGGGAGGAAAAGCAGTGGAACTTATCTGCTCCGTATTGTTCAGATGCAACTTTGACTGAGACTTGAAGCCTGGCAGGAGCCTTTTGGGCAGGCTGGAAAGCTGCCTGGCCCTCCTGGGAGGGACACACAGAGGGAGGCGGGATGGGAGTGAGAGAAAGCAAGGACTAACCTGGGAAGTGGAGAGAGGGAAGTGAGACTCGGAGAGCTGCTCAGCTCGGCACAGGGAGCAGGTGAGCTGCAGGGTCCTGAGAGACCCCACGCTGCATGAGCCGAGCTGGGAGCAACCCCGGCCCTCTGTCCCCAGGGGTGGTCTCTGACCAGTCCTCTTTGTCCCCTGGTATCAGCTGCATTTTATAAGAAACACAGGGATAAAATAACCCCGGCTTCCTTGGCTCAGCACCTCCTTACACTTGTCCTTTCTCCTTTCCTCTGCCCTGAGGGTTTGGTTGGTTCGCTCCTCCCAGTGGAAATGGTTTGCAAAATGTTACCCCGTGCACCTTCGCTTTACTGCACCTGCTGGCGCGAGGCAGTGCCTCCAAAACCTTCTTCCCCAGCCGGTACGGCTCTGGCTCCAGGCAGCCGAACAGCATCCAGGACTGGGTAATTATGTCTCAGCGCCTGTTTCTGCTGGCAGCTTTAGCAGTGAGCAAGTGGTAACTGGGAATTATTGCCAGGGAGGAGAAGAGGTGATGCTATCTCTGCCGTGGTTATATGCGTGTTGCATGATTAATCCTTGCTCTGTAGGGTTTCAGCAGCCACACAATCCGCAAGGTAAACACAGCGGCGTGCAAGCAGGTGCTTCCCAGCATCTCGGGCCTAGGTGTGTCACACCCTGTCCTCGCGTGGATCATCAGAGATGCTTCCCGTGAAATGTAATTAACTCCTTGTCTTGTGCCCAGCATGAGTCTCGCACCACCGAGTGACAGACGTGGATGCACACACGCTGCCTGCACCGCACACCTTGCAGGCTGCCAGCCCCGTGCAGCCTACGCACAGCGTGCCCAGCCGTGCCGTAATCCCGAGGACGCTGGAGCTCCCCGGCCCGCGTACCCTGCCCCGCCGTGCACGGATCGCGTGCACGGTAGAGCCTTGAGTCTGAAAATATGCAGCTTTTCCAATTCGCATCTGAGAGCTGCTCACGTTGGTGTCCTGGCTGGCTACTCGCCGTACGCCCCTGGGAATTGCATCGGCTGTGCTGCCTTTGGGGTCCAGGCGCCTCCTCTGCGCGGCCGTTCCAGGCTGCGGCTCCCAGACATCATGTCCGGCGGCAGCAGAAACCTCAGACCGCCGTGCTGGGGCTGGGGATGCGCCTATGCAGCGCGAGGCTGTGACAGATGGATGGGGTGACCTGCTCCCAGCACAGCCCAGCAGGTTAATGGGGAGCTGTGGAAGAGATTACAGCTTGCAGAGACAGGGTCAGCGCCTGCCCCCTGCAACAGGAGCCGCTGCGAATGCCGCTGTGCAGGGAGCAGGCATGGTCAGCTGCTCTGGCTACTCACAGGGGCTGGCTGCAATTAATTTAGGTTCATTAACTCCCTTCTGGGCTTAGCTATATTATCTTGTTCCTATTCAAAGCCCACCCTGTGGCCTTTGCAGCACCAGCTCTGGCAGAGAAGGACCAGAATAGCAGTAAGACCATGCCAGTTTAAATGCAAAACACCCATCTGCCATTTCCAGGAGCAACAGGGCCATGGGCAGAGCCAAGTGACCGGGGGAGTTTGGCATTTCAGTATTCCCTGCCCACTGCCCACTCGCTATTATTCAGTCTCCATGGGGTCCTGAGGGCTTTTTTGGATGCCCAGTGTTGGATCTGGCATGTTACTTTTGCTCTTTGTAGCTGGAAATTTTTAGGACAAGAAGCGTGTTTACATATGGCTGGTGCTACAACTGCTACTAACTTGGTTAAATTAAACCCAGGTGCTATTCAAGCCGGTGACTCATTTCTGCTGAATCTCAGGTGTCTGTCCCAAACCACAGAAGTGTTAGAGTTGTCAAAGATTAGCAGCTGTGCATATGTTAATTCTCCTCCCCCTGCTCGAGAGCAAAAGTCAGTTCCCATCCTCCAGTCCTAAGGGTCCCTCGGGGCGCGTTCACGTGGCAGCGCGGGACCAGGCAGCGATGCTGGAGCTCGGGTACCCGGAGCAGCCGCCTTAGTGCAGCGCTGAGCAGGGGGACGTTAATGGGACTCTGTTCCACACCGGCTCTGATGGTGCTGGTATTCATGTGCGTGTTTAAAGACAGCACTGGAAGCCTGGACCAAAGCTTTATCCTCTCCCTTCCTTTTGGTCTTGGCTCCAGGATTTCAGTGCTGCCTTCAAGAGCGCCCTGGGATGATGCCGTCCCCACCTGCCTCCTCGGGGAGCGTTTGCAGCAGCTCGGCAAGAGAGAAAGGCTCAGTGTTCAGGAGTTATATCATTCTTTATATCATCGTTAAGAGTAGCAGGTATTGATGTACAATGCATCTGTCATCTTATTGTGCTTCCTATGAAAATGTGTGTACATAGTACAGATACCAGAGAGAATTCAACACTTTATACACTTGAAGGCATTCAGAGATCAGTAACAGAAAAAAAAAATAGCACAAGAACAATGCCTAAATGCTACTAGATGGGTATCTACACTGATATGATGCATATATAGAGATATATATATATGTACACATATATATATAGTCATATATATTATATATAAGAAATATAAAATGCAGATGACATAATAGAAACGAACGAAAAAGTGTATGCTTCAACAGGTGAGCGTCAAGGTCAAATCCCAGCCCCATCTTTAAAAGCTTTAATGGGAAAGAGAAAGAAAGAAAATAAATAAATGAAACGCAATGAAACATTAGGAAAAATCCATAAGAAAATTTATGGATGTGGCTGACCCGTCATCTTTGGGCGATCGCTGGATACAAAGGACTGACCCCCAGTTCCTAATTTTGGTCAGGAAGCAAATAATAATAACAATGACAATAATAAAAACAAAACTGCAGTTTAGAAATAATAATTACTAAAAAGACTTATTGCAAAAGCTTTAAAGATAAGTAGCACTTCAGCCCTGGGAGGGCTCTTGCTCGATGTGTGGGGCCTGGGGGCTGGCAGGGGCTGGGGGAGGCCAATTTCCACTGGCCCTCGAGCGAAATGGCGGTGCGCTTGCAGGCCCGGGGAGCAGAGACTCGGCCAGTGCCGGAC